ATTTCTTCATCAGATGACAAGATTTTGTTTGCCATGTGAAGGCATGACCTTGGTGACCTATCCATCCCCAGACCTTCTGGTAAGATGCTTATTAGAATGTTGTGGCCCAGAGGAGTAATCACAGTGAAATAGCCAAGAGAGTATCTTTTATAGATGGTGAGAGACAAATGTGGTTTTTTCCTTCCTCAGTCAAGCAGCGGTGTGCTTTTTGTCAACCAGAATATATTTCAGTTTTCTACTTTTTTATTCATTTTTCTAGTCTCAGTCTCAGTCCCCTCCCCTGTGTTTCACATTTCCAGCACCTTTATATAAGTAATCTTAAAATCATGTATTCCTCCTCCAAAACCAGTATTGTATCATGTTAATAAACGTCGTCCCTTTTCCCAGAACTGCCTAGATATCATGCTGCTACTTGTTGATCTTGAAAGCTTAGTCCAGATGAATTCAGTTGCAAAAAGAAAATAATAATTCCACAATTTCAACCTCTGTTTCTCATTGGCCACGACCCATTTCTGTCTTTTATCTAATCCCATGAAAATGTCAGATGATTACTTTGGTCATCTGCAATTCAATACTAATCCTACCTGTTTGATTCAAAGGATGTTTTGACTTTCTCATTAATATAACATCAACATCAGTTTGCGCTTAATTCTGAAATTCATGGGCTTCATCGTGCAGTCTCTCGTTTTTACTATTTATTATAACCAAACAATTCTTTTCATTTGTCTTCATCATTAGTCAAGAGAGTGGGGTTAGGGAGATGCCTCTGTAGGTCCTAAAACGTTTAGCCCTGTGGTTCTTCTTTAACAGGAAGATGTACCAGTTGCCAAGTGCTTCATTTTAATGTAAATATCTGTAATAATAAATGAGTCAGGCAGTTTAATCACACTATGGGTGTTTTTCTTTTCTGGTACAGCGTTTTCTTGCATTTATTTTTTGATTGTGGTAACATAGCATAGAATTTACCATCTTAACCATGTTTTTCATTTAATCAAAAGTATATGTGTGTGTGTGTGTGTATATATATATTATATATGTATATATGTATATATATATATATTACATTCAATATCATTTTGTATTAGTTTGTGTATTTTTTTTTCTTTTTTAAGGACTATTAAAAACATTCTGCTTATTTTAGTCTTTGGTTCATGATCTGAGGACAGTGCTCTTATGGCAGCAAAATAAATTCTATAAGCAAGTAGGATAAATATTCATATGCTACATGTGCTAATATGAAGCTCATCCTCACTTCCCCACTCTCCACCCAACACCCCATCTGTGCCAGGTATGGAGAGGTATAGGGACCCGACATCCTATCCAGCACCCCACCACCACCACCACCTTTCTCTGCATTTAAAAAACAAATTACAAAAAATAGTATAACCAGTCACATAACACCAACTGAAATAATTAATGCTGATTTTTGGCTCAGATTATTTTAATTCAAAGTAGAGTTTTACTGGTAAAACCCTGGTATGATTTCCTCAAGTGCAAAGGGAAAAATAATTCTGTTGATTTCCATTGGACAAGAACATTCTGGTATCGCATTTATCATTTCAAAGTTCATTCCTGTTTAGATTATATTTTACTTAGCATGCAGATTTCTACAACTTTTCATTACTTTGAAGAAAGTAGTAATAGTATACATTTAAAAATATCACATGCTTGGTCAACTCAGAGCATTAAAATATAATATAAATATGATATTAAAATAGACTACTATAATAGAATAGAGTTTCTTTACCCTAAATCTCTCTCATTCATCTCTTGTATAATTCTGGGAAATAACTATCTCTGATACATAAATTTTGGCCAATTTAACTGTTTTATACTTCAAAGGAAAAAGTCAGATTTAGATTAAATTTTTGGAGGTTTATTTTATAAGTTCTGGTTTGTAAATTAACAAATTTATCTTGTAGCAAGTGATGATCATTTTGAATGTTTTTGTTCTTTGACTAAAAATCATCATCTATAAGATAGTTAATGGCAGAGGGGAGAGAATTCCACACTTTTCCGATTTTAGTTCTGATCCTGGCTAAATGTTTGCCTTCTTGATTTACTACCGATCATCATCAAATATTCTCTTAAAGCAGTATATTGTGGATTACAATTCGTGTTTGTGAGATTTATTTACCTCTTTTTTATTGTGATGCTCATACACAGTAGAATTTACCAAGTTACCTTGTTAGTTTAAACTCATTCACAATGAGAATGATAGTCATAACAGACTTTTAGAAAGTGTTCTCTTCAGAAGATTAAACAGTGAGGGAAAAGAAATGGTAAGACTTATGCTTAAAAATCATTTTTGCTCTAACAGCCTAGTGCTCAAGTTTACCATCTCTTTAAAGTTTGCAACACAAGCATCTCCTCTCCCTATTATTAATGAAAGATAATCCAAGGCCTCAATGAGGCAGATGACTGAAATGTGTCAAGAATTATTTTTGATAGCTCTGGTGAACAACTAAGTGTCCTAATTTATATGTTTCTAAATCAGACTATTTCACTAGTTGACTAGTGTCTGCTAACTTTATTACAATCAACTTTAAATTAGTATTAATTAATATTTACTAGCAGGTATAATACCAATAAATCCAGAATTATTTTTTTTAAAAAGCATTAAAGAAATAGCAACACTGTGAACATTCAGTTTTATGTGATGATTATCTGGGCTAATTTACCCAAAATTATGTGCTAGCTAAACTATAATTAAATTATTGTTTTAACTTCCAAGGCTTACAGTAATTGACTATGTCTTACCAAAAATGAGAAATTTAAAATTACTATGTTACATTTTTCACCATGAGTGTTCCTCATGTAATTTTTTGAAAAGGCCCTGAAAGCCAAATTTTAATTAATATACATATGTTATGTATATTTGACACACACACATATATATATAATTGAGATATATGTGTGTGTGTGTTTGTTTTCTATACTATAATTTATTGGGTAGTTTCCCTTTTGCTAGATAACACTGTGATAACACATTGTAATTACTGGATTTTTACATATGATTTACTGGTACAAAGGACATGAATTTTAAAGAGTATGTAATATGTATTAAAATTGCTATTATATTTTTATATATGAAATATATATATGTAGTGTGTATCTATGTGTTTATGTGTGTCTGTATTTTTTTGCCAAGTGCTAGCAATATATATGTCACTTGTCTCATTAAATCCTCACCAATATTCAACATTATTAATTTGCTAATTTAATAGGAAATAGTAGTTTTTTGTTACTTATACTGAATTTTTTACTTCCATTCAAATTAAATTTTTGCATAAGTCTACTGACTATTGATATTTATTCTGTAAATTGTCATCTGAAAATTCCCTGTTATCACTAGGATTTTGTTTCTTTGAATTTGGTAGCGCTCTTAATATACTGAAGATATATTATTTGTTTACTACAGGTATTTTGCCAATGTGGCATTTGTGCTAACATTCAAAGGTTTTATGTAGTTAGATTGATTGATCCTCTGTGTTTTTATTATTATTATTATTATTATTATTATTATTATTATTTTAGAAAATCTATTTACACTCTAAGGTAGGATATGCCTGGATTTTATTCTATTTCATACTGATAGTTTCATCTTTCTAAAATTTAAATCTTTTTATCTCCCTAGAATTTTTTTTGTGTATACGATAAGATTCAGCCCCAAAACTCTATTTCTCTCCTTTCATTTGTTGAATAGTGCAGAAAATGCTCACTGATTTTTGAATTTTCTTTTTCACATTTTGTTGCTACACATCCTTGAGTTCACTTCAAAAATGAAATGTTGACTGCATCTCATTCATTTATATTTTGAGTCTTTAGTAATTATTCCATAATTCGGTTAAATATTATAATATCTTTTAACAACCACTATGGTATTTTTCTCTCCTAATATTTTTCTGATTCTTATAAGTTTGTTCTCTCAGATAAAATTAGGTTATTGTTTTTTTAATTTTCTTGTAAAGTACGATTAGCTTTTGATTGAAATTGAGGTAAACCTGTAAATTTGGGTAGAACTAAGCACTTAAAATTTTTATAGAATTCAGTCTTCTTCACCAGGTGCGTTGTATGACCATCAGCAAAGCTTTACCATGTTTTGTATGTTGTTACCAAACATTTCTTAATAATGTTCTAAGGTATATTATTTTCTGTTGCTTTGCAAACAGTTGTTTCTTTGTCATCACATCTACTGGAGTCGTGCTGTTATATGGAGAAAGGAATGTGCATAAATGTGTTGTATAGTCTGTTTTATTAGCATGCTGGATTAGTGGCAGGAGCACTCATGCGTAGTGAGTGTACTGGACAACTGAGTAACATTTTATTCCTCTCAGTCCATATTTTGTATTTTCTTAATGTTCCTCTAGTTAAATGTTATTTTCAATAAGTAAATATGCCAGGTAAGCAGAGTAGCTCAGGGCTATTACAACAATGGGAATAGCTTCGTAATGTTTTGTAGTCTCTGTTTTATGAAAATCTGCATGGTGACTTTGGGACTTCTTTCACATTAAAAAATTTTGCTCTGTAGAACACTCTTATTTCTGTGATATTATCAAAACAGAACTAAGAATTATTGAAATATTTTGGCCTTCTGGTTTTTTACCATTTATGACAATAGATTAAGCTACACTAGTGGATTTCTTTGGCATATTTTCCTAATAAACTAGGAGCTTAATGATATGCAGATGAAGCTTAACACGGATTAGCATCTATCCAGGATGTTCCTGACAATGAACTATAAAACTATACATTAGCAAACTCTTTTTGTCACACAGTGATATCAAAATATCTTCAAAACTACCAGCAATTGAAACATTACCTATTAAACCAGAAGTTTATTTCTTCATGTGCGTTCAATTTATTCATGATGGCTATTTAATACATTACTATGAAAACATACATTTCAAAATCCTAATTCTTTAAAAGAAAGAGTAAAAATATTTGCCGTGTAAAATAAGTCTCATTTAATTTACTGTAATTATTCTATTCTCTTACAGCTCATGGGGCATTCAGAATGGGATCACAAGCGAGGGCCAAGAGGATCACAGGTAAGTTTTGTTTTTTCCTTTCCTTTTTTGCATTTGGTTTCTAACACTTTGAGCCGTGAGATTTCTAAGACTCAAAAAAATAATAAGAAGTAGAGAGAGGAAGAGGCAATATAATCATGCCATTTGTTTTTACTTAAGTTAGCTATAATTAAAGCCTGGTTTCAAGTCCCAGAGGCAGAAGCCAGTGTATCCCTCCTAAGAGCTTCCTGGTGTCCCAGATTGGCTGCGTTTCTCTGAATGCAGATTTTATACTCAGCTTGTCTCTGCCCAACACATTTTGATCAGCGACTCACTCTCTTGATTTTATTCACTTCCTTTGATAATTTTTCTATGTATTTTCTTTTCTCTATCTTCCTGTGTTTGGTTAAATATTTTGAAATATAATCAGACTAAACCCTGAACTAATTACAGATTTTGTCTCTAAATTAACTGTCTTCGTCTTAGGGAAACAGAAAGATGAAAGGACCTATTATTTTGAAAAGAAACAAATTCTAAACCTTTCTATATTACCAGACTGTTTTCATTGTCTTACTTTATGTCTTAGGCAAGGAGAAAAGCTTCCATGACGCATTCATGCTTTTTAATGACCTAATTAGACAATGTGGATTTGTTTTGCTTCCATAATTACTTTGCCTGACAGAATAAAGGCTGAGTTTTTACCCTCAGAAAATTATCTCTCCTCCCAGGATATTTTGTGAAGAAATATAAAAATAATTTATCCCATAGCAGCCTGTGTTTACCTGGCGATAAACATGCCGAAGGAAAATTAAATAGGTGGGACATTTTTACCTCTGCTGCTCACATTTTGCACTTACTGCTAAGAAATACGGTTTAAAAAGAGTTGAATGTGCAGTGCTGTCCATGAAAGTTCATTGTGGAATGTGAGATTCTCCCAAGTGTTTTACAGCGCTGACGTGGGCCTGTGCTGACATTACGTTTGCGTGGTTAACTTTTTAATTTAGGTCCCTGGGAAAAGAAAACCAAGTCAGTCGGTTGTTTCGCGTTGATACTTGAATAGCTGTCATTTTACTTTTGTTCATTATCAGTTTAGATTATCCAAAAGAATTTGTGACTTGCTTTTTCCTACCCCTCACTTCTCCTTTTTCTCTGGCAGCAACTCTGTGTCCATATCAGTAATATTTTAAATCAGAATTTGTGGGAAAGTCATTAATGAAATGATGACATTAATGTATGTTAGATGTTTTGTGATTCTAAACCAACAGAAAGTAAAGATGAGCACTGGCCTGCGTGGCTAAGTCATTAGAGTGTCGGCCTGTGCACCAAAGGGTCTCGAATTTGATTTCCGGTCAAGGGCATATACCTGGGTTGCAGGTTTGATCCCCACCCAGGCCGGAGAGTGTGCAGGAGGCAGCCAATTGCTGTGCCTCCCTCACACATTGACGCTTCTCTCTCTCCCTCCTCCTTCCTTCCCTTCTATTCTCTCTAAAAATTAATGGAAAAAATGTCCTTCGGTGAGGATTAACAATAACAACAACAAAAAGTAAAGATGGGCACAAATAAGAAATTCCATGGTTTCTGATTACTGCCACTAAAGACATTCAATATTCAAACATGCCAAGTAACTTGCTGAGGGCATGTCCCTTCAAAGTAATGTAGTGTTACATTAAAAAATGGTTGTTTAAAATATGTAATATTTACTCCTGTTATGATTTATTGGAATATAATTTATCTTCAGCTTTGGACTGGTCTCTCTCTCAATATAAGTCAGAAAAAAAATTTTTTATAAAAGTACAACATTATTTATGATAACTTTAAACATAAAAATCCCAGAATGAATTTTTTTTTTCAATTTAGTGTATTGCACATAGTTATAAAACTTCTGAATTCTACATACACACTCAAAATAAATAACATTTGATGATATTTGAAAGATTGAGGTGATTCTAAACAGCAAACGCATTGAAACATTCTTGCATGAATGACCATAATCAGCATCAAGGTCTTCCTTAGGCCTTTCAACTAACTAAATAAGCATTCTAAATGTAGCACACCAAGGTAAAAAGCAAAACACACACCAAAAAATAAAAACAATAACAACTACAACAAAAAGCTTTTGGGGGGAAATTTCAGATTAAAAAATTAAGCATTAAGTAATAACCTCTTATCTAATTTTAATTCCTATTGGGACAAAAAGACATTGTGTGTATGTTTTATATCACTGATTCTTCTTTATCTTGCTATTATTTCCTTGGACTATAAGATGCCTTTCAGTCGTCATTCAAAAGGAATTTCAGACAAACTGCACTTGAACACAGATCTCTTAATATTTTGTTAATATCCCAAGGCCTTGCTCAAATTCCATCTCAGTTTAGTTTCAGTGAAGATAGATTTTAAGTACTGACTATGTATAGGTCTGACATTGAAGAAAAACTGACTGACAAGGTTACTGCTTTCCAGGAGCTCACAAGTTATGGTTGGAAACAGAGCAATATTTAAATACGGGGTGGGGCAAAAGTAGGTTTACAGTTGTGAGTCTGTGAAACAGTTTTTTCTTGTGATATTTATTAATTATTATATTATTTTCCATACAAACAACTATAAACCTACTTTTTCCCCACCCTGTATATAATTTGCATATAATTCAGACTGGTAGATGTAATATTCAATATATAAACAAAGAGTGATAGAGGTTTAGGTTGGACAGAGTATTTATCCCTAGTAGAACGGAAGTCCCTCTTAGAGTTGCTGGTATCTGAGGTGAGCCTGCAAGGGTGGGTAAGGTTTTAGAAGTTCAAAAAGAGGGAAAGGTGGATGGGAAAGCTTGAGTAAAAGTCTGAAGTAGCAGCATGTGGGACGATCTGGATGTATGTGAATCTTCTTTGTAACTGCTTGATAAACACTTATTGACTGGGGACTGTTGCAGGAACTACTGTGAAGGAATGAACCAGGGAATGTCGTACATTATTGATTAGATATGAGGAGGAAGTGAGAAGAATTTGAAACCCAGAACTCGAAGGGTTAATGCTATTAACACAGACCAGTGTACAGGGAGCATGATGCATTAAGCGAAGTTAAGTGGGAAGTGCAGGTGACAATCCCAAACAGAATTCCAGACAATACTCGAGGTTCTCCTCTGGCGCCCTATAGCCAGATTAGAGCAGATGTCAATTTGGGAATGCTAATCATGTGGCCATCGAACGACATTGGTGGGTAGATCCTGGAAGAAGAACATTAGACGAGAAAAACAGAAGAAAGGCTGCCCCTCGGGGAAGAGCCTGGGGAGAGAGTTAAAGCACCAGGTGGGCTCACTGGAGACCAGCGGAAGGAGAACTGATGCAGAGTCAGACGTGGTGCGCCATCGGGCTACACCCAGAAGAGCGCTAAGGCCACACACGAAGTTTCAAGGGACAAAAACCATGGGGAATGCCTTTGGGTTTAGTGATTAACAGGATATTAGGGAACTTTGAGAATGCAGTTTTGATCAAGAAGTGTTGGAAAGCAGAATACAGAAATTAAGAATGAGAATTGTATAAGATAATAGAAAGCACTCTTAGGGGAGTTTTGGGTTTTATTTTTAAAAAAACAAACAAGTGGGATTAGGCAGCAGAAGTGAGTGAAATGTCTTTTTTTAAAATCCTCACCCGAGGATATGCTTATTGATTTTAGAGAGAGGGAGGGGGAGGAGAGACAGAGAGAGAGAGAACATCCATTGGTTGCCTTCCATAAGAACCTGGCAAAGAACCCCTGACCTGTGTATGTGCCCTGACCGGTAATTGAACCTGCCACCTTTCGGTATATGGGACAATGCTCCAACCAACTGAGTCACACCAGCCAGGGCAAAATGTCTTTTTAAATGCTAGGGTGAGATACATGTCTTAATTATTAAAAATTGGTGTAGAGAAGAAAACACTGAAAATTCTTAATAGTGACCTGTTTAAGATCTGAGAAATATAGCGTGGTTCAGGGATAGGAATGCACTCGCTTCTAAAGTGGCCCTTTTGGCACCTGTTTACAGGTTTTTCTCATACTCCACGAGTCCTCGCCCCAAACCCCACCATTCACCCCACTTCAAAAAACTGACCATGTACTCAAGTGAGCCACTTGGTAGATCCAGCAAAGAGCACCAATGAAGAACCTTGGGAAAGAAAGTAGAGATACCTATACAAGAACAAGAGACAATAGGCACAGATATTACAAAATGAAAGAAATGCTGTGTGCCCAATGACTTCAATTTTCTTGGTAGAAAAAGGGTGCATAAATTTGGGATATAATAGTGGAAAATCTCGAGTGATAGAAAATATATGGAGTTAATGTGGTTTTAGATATCTAAAAAAGAGGGCTGGCTTGATGTCTGATCATTAAGAAATACCTAGTAGAAAGCAGACAGCTGTCACAGATGTGAGGGGGTAAACTGCAAGACAAATTTTAACCTACTTTACTTTGTTTCAAAAATCACCAATGTATGCCAGGCATTTTTTGAGCCTTTGAGGAGTCAAAAATGAAGAAACCAACTTTGGCCTTCAAAAGCATATAGCTTTATCTAAAGTCAGCCTGAGTTCAGAGGGTAAAGAAAAAAATAAGCTAGTATTGAGGGCATTAATCATTATCAGGATAGAATAAGCATCTCCTGTCTTTCCCCCTACGTGCTTAGTAAATAAGAGACTTTCTCAAATTTGACCTAATCCCCTTAAATCATATCATATGTGCATTATCACAGAGGATAAGAAGGTGTACCTTTCATGTCAAATGTTTCTGATTTTAAAAACAATATACATCTTGCTTCAAGTACATTCTAACATTTAATTGCATATGACTCTTTGGACTCAGCAAGGATTTAATTCACACTGATTTGTTTACTCTGTTCTCAATAATTTTGTGACATAATTTGTCAGCTCACTCACCTCTTTCAGGCTGATTTTTCTTCTTCTTTTTTTAAAGTCTGTTCTCTCAAGTAGTAGATCATCCAAATTAGGGAAGATGCTAACGGATAAATAAACTTCCAGCAGCATGCAGAACTCCTTCAGCTGGCAGCATTCCCA